TTTAGCACTATAGTTTCATACGGTAGAACATAAATAAACAAAAAAAAACGAAAGAAGTTGCCTGCAGTTTGGCTTGGTGGGGGCATTTTGCTGGTCCCCATCGGTCACTACCGATGCCTTCCGTGTCCGTGTGTATTCCTGTAAAGCCATGGAACAACAAGAGCTTTGTTTCGTGTGATAAAAATGCCCATTCAACCCAAACAGCGCCATTTATTCATGAAAAATTGTTGGTAACCAAGTTTGCAGACTACACATACAATCACTTCTTTCTACGATCTTAAACATAAGTGGAGTGCATGGCGTACCAAACGAATTGATAAGCACTGAACGTCCCATTTTGTGCATTTGCAGACATAACCAAACACACCAGCAGCCATAAATCTCATGTGCTCAATAATTTTTTCGGGCTAGCACAAACCCCTAATTTATCTCTCGTCGAACGCCGTCGATTTCCATTTCATACCTGTCCGGGCGCATTCGGCTGTTGCATGAATAATTCACTTGATTTTGATGCGAATGAAGCGATTCCCAAACGGAAGGCTATTCGGGGGTGAGAGCGGCCATGGCTTCTCTGGGGAGGTTTCCAGAAGGCATGGTGACTATAGCGATTAGTATTCCACTAGCTTCCTCTCCAGAACCCTCAGAGGAATCCCGACCAAGTAGTCTTGTTCGTGGGGGCATGTCAACGGGGTTGGGTTTGGCGCGGCACCAGCCTGTTTTCCACCAACTGCTGTCGCTTGCTGTCTTTTTTGGTGGAGAAAACGAGCTGGCTCCGCGCCAAACCGCGCCCGTTAGCACGCCCTCACCCATGCAGCGAACAGGTAAGCATGGTAAGCATCGTGGTTCCCTTCTGAATGGATGTGAAGCGCATGGCGCATCCTGGAGATCTAAATCAAGTCCAGTTCCTGCTAGTATTGATTCTGTTAATGCCAGGTTTCCTCAGAAAAAGCCATTACAAGGCCTTCCAAAAATAGTCATAGTACGAGCCTTCCAATTTCCAGTCCGGTCTTTTTCATCAGCTACCTACGTAAAGCATAGGTATTGATTTCATGTTTCGTAGAAGGGGTAGAAGGAGAAAACGGGCTATGGAGAACTATTCATGGCCGCGTAGTCAGCACGGAAGTGC